TAAAAAAAAAAAGCGGACCACATGGATTTATCCTTATCTTTCCTTACCTCAATGTTGAGAGATCTAATCCAAGTTGAAAGTGGATTTTCAGGTAAATTTTGTAAATAAAAAAATTTCGTTTATATTTCAGAGTTCGGTACAATATAATCAATTTCTTTTACTTTTTAAATAGGTTTAAAATATTTCAATGTTAAGCGATTTCAGGGCCGTGCTAAAGAAAAGCAAGTTGGATTTTTAATCAATTCTATGCCAAGTAAAAAAAAAAAATTGAGAAACGATCCAATTTAAAAAGAAGGTAATTAGAAAATCCCGTCTTTACAATTGTTGTAAGTAAAAGTTTAAAATTAAAAAAAAGAAAGAAACTTACCGTTTTTATCAGGAAAGTACGACTCTACAAAAAGGAGAACAGCAGAAAATAAAATAAATTTTGGATTTGTGGCTTAGCGGTCCAAAATTACTGCGCCAAAATTTTAATCTTGACATGACGATAATTTGAAGGATGCGCGGTCATAATTTATAAATTTTATTATTTACAGTATTTCTATGTTTAAATATATAACTATACATATGTTTAACTAATATGAATAATGTTGCTCTTAATTTACAAAATATTTCTTTGTTTAAATATATAACTATACATATGACAAGTGTAACTGTCTAATATTAAATTTTTGAATTTTCATGTATGGTCTTTCTTGACGTAGGCATTTCGTTCAATCAACTTAAATCGGAGATGATTTAAATATCGACCTCATACCACCATCGCATTTGAATATCTCCGCCAATCCACCAAAGAACGTACTTGATTCTTTGCAATAATAAATTTTAATGCAATATATTTTTAAAACTATTTTTGCTAAATGTTTAAAATTATTAGACCGCGGACAATCCAAGCGGTCCTTAAATGGTATTTGGACCGTTCATGAAGTGTTTATGATACCCTACCATGAACATTATGTCCGAAATCAATACCATAACATCAAGACGGTGAAATAACAATCTACAATGATATCCTCTCAATAAAAGAGAAAATTCATATCTATATTTAAATATCAATGACAATTGTGTCATTTCAATGTGATTATTGTTTAAAGGAGAATAAGGTACTTGTATTTTTATAATTTAAATACAAGAATCATAATTTGATTATAATGATATGTGTGTCTTAAAATTTTGTTTGATATTATAAAATTTTTTTGGAATTGAGACCTTTTTAACTTTTTTAAAAGTTAAAGGAAGGGAAAGAGGAAGCTTCAAAAGCACAGAACTTGCTGTGAGACTTGGGACTTATATATATTGTAAAATGGGCTTTCTATTAACTGCGCGAAATACATAAGGCGTGTCGACTTATTTTTAGCTTAAGCCAAAAGGACACAATCAATTTCCATATGTAGTCACAATAACATATTAATTTATAATAAGTAATCATTTTCACGTCACGTCGGATGTATAACCAAATTTATTGTAGTTTGCAGCTATTTATGTCTCACAATTCACTTGAAAAGGTTTTATATATGCGCTTCTATATGCGCTTTTTTAAAAGTTAAAAAATTTCACATGATTAAACTTGATTTTTTTTATATGGCTTTGCAAAAAACAACTTCACAAAAAAGTAGCAATTTTTTTTTATCGATCACCTAAAGCATTTTTTGAAAAAATTAATATTTGAAAAGAATCTACAACATTCGATATTGTTTAAATCAGAGAATTCAGATACAATGAACCTCAATATTATTAAAAACTTGATTTATAGCCTCGAGATTTTTGCAGATCACAGCAAGTTTGAACAAGAAGATAAGGTAGTGTGACTTAACTGTAAATGTATATTATACATTATACAGGTATATATGTTGTGCCTCAGATAACGATTTGCGTCAGATGCCTACTAGCCTAAATTATGGGTCTATTTTGGATCGATCTTGTAATCCCTCAAGAAGGTTTGGTTAGCATTAGCATCAGTTGACAATGAGATTTACAGCTATGTCGATTATCTATTTTAATGTCATTATCCTGCAATATGAATATCATTGAATATAAAAGTTTAGAAATATACAAAGTTAGTATAGACTTATTACTCAATTAATTCTAAATCTATTCTATAATAATACTAACAATTGATTTAAAAATATTTAGCTTAATTTTAATCATTTCATCTATATTCATTTTTAGTATTTAATGTTAATTAAAAAATTATAGCAATTAATTTTACTTATTAGAATTTATAACTTTAAGGAATTTTACTTTATAGGATTTTGGAATTTTTAAAAATAATTTAGTATATATAGGCATTTTGTAGTAAAAAGGGAAAAAACTACCAAAAAATTTTTTTTTACTTTATAAACTAAATATTATTTTTTTTAGTAAAATAAATTCAGATTTAACATTAATTCAAAAAAAAAATATTTTTGTTAGTTTTCTCCTTTTTTACTGCAAAACATCTATATATATCATATTTAAATCCTAAATGAAAATATGTTTTAGTGAATAATATATATAAAGATTTTATTTATTTATTTTATTTATTATTTAATTCATAAAGTAATGTTAAGGTCTAGATAAATATCAATCTGCTAATCTGACAATCCATCTGATTTAAAATTAATTTAAACCATCTATTAAGAATTTCTATTAGATGACAAATGAATTTGGATAATCATTCGAATGATCTGTCAATTTTAAAAATAATTTTTTTAATGTTTTTTCATTTATTAAAAGTTTAAATCTATATGTTAAACCATTATTTAATAAAGCAATAACTATATGAATTGTCATTTTATTAGATACAATTATGGGAGAAATTTATCTTATTACTTGAACTTTATTTAGATCATCATAACAATAATAAAGAAATCACATTTCCTTTTTTTTAAAAAAAAAAATCATGCTTGAATTTTTTTATTCAAGTATATTTAATTGCTTATTAATATAAATAGTTCAAAAGAAAACAATCATGAACTAATAAAAAATCCTAATAATAAAAGAACTACAGGAAGACTGAAAATCAGTTAAATTTGAGAATTCTTTGACTCAGAAATTTGCAATAACAAGTGATGGGCAGTGTGTAAACTTAATATAATAAATATAAATATTTCTTGTAAGAAAGAATATAAAATAGGCAGTTTCACCAAAAATTGTATTGAGTATCTATTAAATAAATATAAACTTTTCAAATAGAAAAAAAAAAGATTCTCAGGTAAGAATTCATTTTTAGAAATAATAACGCCTATTTATTTAAAAAAGTTTATTAATATATAGATTTTTTTGTAAAATATTATAAAAAATGTTAGAAAACATAAAGAAAGTTATCAATTTGAATTATATCAATATTTAACAGACTTTATTCTTAATGCAGCTTTGCTATTAAGAATAATTAAAAATACGATTTTTTATCAATTTATTAAGAAATTAGATCTAGCTTTTATAATATCAGATTCTAAAAGTATTAAAGCTATGATTCATATTATTTATAACTTTACAATTAAGGTTTTAGTTGATTTATTATAACTCATTACATCTGTTTCTCTTATATTAGATCTGTGAATTGCGCAAAGTTATTATAAATTTCTAATTATCACAGTTTATATTTAAATGAAAAATATAATCTTTGTAAAATTACTTTAACTCTCTTATCTCAGATATTCATACTTAGCTGAAAATATTCAAGATGCTATTATAGAAGTTCTTGATAATTAGAATTTGCGAACCAAAGTATATTTTATTATTACAGATAATAAAAATATATTAAAAAGTAAGTTAAAAATATGAAAAAAATAGAATAATATTCATGTGCTTTACATATGTTACAGTTAGTAATCAGAAAAAAGGTTAATGCTAGTCAAAAAATTGATATTAAGAGTAAAAAGATTGATTAATTTTTTTTTTTT